CTCTTCCTCCATGGCGGCCGAGCCTCCTCTGCCTCCCGCGGCCGGCAACAGCCTCTCGGCCGCCTTCGTCACCTGCCCCAACGAGACGGTGGCCAAGGACCTCGCCAGGTGGGCGGGGGGCGTTCGTCGGGGGGGCGGACGAGGGGGGTGGTCTCCGCGGGGGGGTGGGGGGGAGCGCGGCCGGTTGCTGAGCGCCCCCCCCCCCCGGCCGGTCTCCGCAGGGCCCTGGTGGAGCAGCGGCTGGCGGCCTGCGTGAACGTCCTGCCCGGCGTCACCTCCATGTGAGTCTCCCGGGGGGGGGCAGGGAGGGAGGGAGGGAGGGGGCGGCTGCTCGGAGGGGAGGGGGCGTCGTCGTCGTCCCGGGCTCAGCCTCCCCCCCCCTCCGCCTCTCTTGCAGCTACCGGTGGAAGGGCGCCGTCGAGGAAGACGCGGAGGTGCTGCTGGTGAGCGGGGGGGGGCCGCGGGGGGGCTTTCCTGGGGGGCGCCTCTTCCACCCGCCACCCCCCACTCGAGGGAGGGGGACCAGCTTTGCGCCTCCCCCCAGCGCTGCCACCGGTTGCAACCCTGGAGGTCCCCCTCAAACCTTGCGGGGGGTGCAAGGGCTGTGGAAGACGCCCCCTTTGCCCTTGTGCCCCCCTCCCCCCAACCCGGTGGATCCGTGTCCCGAACTCTCCAGATGGACTGGATCCCTCGCTCCCCGGAGTGGGGGGGGCTTGAACCCCGACTCGGCGAACCCCAAGCCTGCCAGGCTGTTTCACGGGGCACCAGCAGGCCAAGGAATTGGGGAGGGGGCTTCCCTCCCCCCCCCGTCCAGCCTCACACAGAGGCCTGCCTGCAGAGCTGGGGCTCCCTCAACGCTTCTCTCTCTCTCTCTCCCCCCCCCCCAGATGATCAAAACACGCAGCTCCCGGGTCTCGGCGCTGGCAGAGTATGTCCGGTAAGGCAGACCCCCCCCTTTCCCTTGGTAGTGGATGATGGGGGGAGTCAACAGCTTTCTACCTCACCCCCCCTCCCTTTTCCTTGCAGATCTGTGCACCCCTACGAAGTGGCCGAGGTGATCGCCCTCCCCATCCAGCAGGGAAACCCCCCGTACTTGCGGTGGGTGGAAGAGACCGTGCCCCCCGAATGAGGGGGGGCCCTTGAGCAGCCTGTGTCCCCAATAAAGCCCCACCCAGGCCTGAGGGGGAGGCCCAGGCCACGAGGCTCTCGCTTCTGTCTGTATTTGTCCTGGG